ACTTACACAAGATGACTCCATTACGCGGGCGTTCTGTAACCTTCACATATCGTGCACCCACCGGGATCCGCAGCAACTCAGTCGTACCTGAAATAACCAGAAGCATATTCAGGCAGCGTCTGTTAAAGGAATAAGGTATAATAAATGTATCAGACACTAATTATATATTGTACCCTATGAATTCTGGTTGTACATTACACTAGATCCTAACACACATGATGGATAAGGAAATGCGTGATAAAAATGCATCGATAATCATGTACATGTATCTATCGGAGAAACCAAAATTAATACAAATATAAATAAAACGAAGATCGTGTGCCCATGATATTATCTTCTTTGAGAGACATCTAGAAGTTTGAGTACTAAGTAAGGATAAGATAAATGGATGAACAACTTCTTTATCAGGAGCGACGTTTCGGTAAAGGTTGCTTGATAACGTCTTAGAACCGACACCGAAACGTCGCCACTAATTGTAATAAAGAAGTTGTTCATCCATTTTTCTTATCCTTAGATGGTATTATTCCCGATGCGACAGAACTTCAAGCAGCAAAATCATTGTTTGACCCATAGAAATGCTGATGCCGATGGCTACGTGCTACTAACGTGCTGCCTTAGTGGAGGTTGCTAATGATTAACACTGCCGCTGCTTCAGCGTGAGCTGGCGTTTACTCAGTTCAAACGTTCTTGCTTTACCTGAGGCATAGCGTTCGCGTTGGCTGTTAATTCAAATTGTAGAAAGGCTATAAACGCCATTTATGCTAAGGATCTGAACATTATTTTGTGGAGACACTGTTTCAAAACATACATTGTTTTGTGGAGACACTGCTTCAAAACATACATTGTTTTGTGGAGACACTGCTTCAAGACACATTGTTTTGTGGAGACACTGCTTCAAAACAGATTATTTTGTGGGGACACTGTTTCAAAACATACATTGTTTTGTGGAGACACTGCTTCAAGACATACATTGTTTTGTGGAGACACTGCTTCAAAACATACATTGTTTTGTGGAGACACTGCTTCAAGACACATTGTTTTGTGGAGACACTGCTTCAAAACAGATTATTTTGTGGGGACACTTCCAACACATACATTGTTTTGTGGAGACACTGCTTCAAGACATACATTTTTTTGTGGAGACACTGCTTCAAAACAGATACTTTTTTGAGACACTGCTTCAAAACATACATTTGTTTTCTCTGAAAGGAGCAACCAGGCATTTTGCTCTTCAAGAACATCTGAATTTTTCATAATTCCATAACGCACACGGGTGCCTATTCCTATTGTCACCTTGCGTGATATGACTGGACTGTTACTGTTGCGAAAAGGCACCAGCTCATTTACACTGGTACCCTTGAGTATCACCACATATACAACAGCACATGTGGCACTGTCGTCTAAAGAATTCTTCCATCGTGGGTTCTAATGCCAGATTCGCCTTGATTATGATGCTTGGTTTGTCAGCACCATACCCATGTTGGTTTGTTTGTTGTTGTTTAACGTCGCACTCAGCAATATTCCGGCTATATGACGACGGTCTGTAAATAATCGGATCTGGGCCAGACAATCCAGTGATTGACATCATGAGCTTCGATTCACGCAACTGGGATACGATGACATGCATCAACCAAGTCAGCGAGCCTGACCAGCCGATCCCGTTAGTCGCCTCTTACGACAAGCATAGTCGCCTTTTACGGCAAGCATGGGTTGCTGAAGACCTATTCTACCCCGGATCTTCGCGGGTCACCATACCCATGTAGAACACGTCTGAAGTCAGCATCACTTCCCTTCCATATTCAGCTGACACGCCACGATATAACTTATCAAAGCAGCGTTCACTATGTAAAATACAACTCACCTGAAGGTAACCTGAAGGAAATCGTCTTCGTTACAGTGTGGCATGTGTCGTTCCTGCCGCCGCACACACCACAATGATCTTGCGTCTTGTTAGAATACGGACGACTGTCACATCCTATAGGCTTAAAGATAGAATGCAAATTGAAAAATATGTCGGAAGAGGAGCCTTGTGGATAAAGTGTTCAATCGATACGCTGAAGGCCCGGGTTCGTTTCCCACGTGAGTACAGTTTGAAGCTCATTACCGGTGACCACCGCCGGAATATTGCTGGAATATTCCTACAGGGCGCGTAAAACAATACTCACTCACAAATGCAGTTCAACATTACAATCATAATTCATACGACTACATAAATGATGTAAACCTCTCCTTACCACACAAAGCCCGGCCACGCAGACTCTCTTTGGACTACTTCCACACTCAGTGCCATCCACTACGCGTTGGGAAAACTTCACCACTACAGCACTGTATCCCTCCGCTGCGCACATCAATGCGCAGGGATCGCTTACCTGACCCCTTCCACCACCTGTAAAAACGGAATAAAGCAACATATCCAGTATGTTAATGACAGACATTGGTAAATAAGAATCACTTTAAAGCAAATCAATAATATCCCCAGAAGGTACATTATCAACGCTGTTTTACGGTCGGTGGAATCTGTTCGGGCAGATAATCGAGACTGGCTATTCTCTAGCGTTGACGTTTGATACATAGGAGCTCGTCTTATGTTTTGTTTGTTTGTTTGTTTGTTTGTTTAACGCCGCACTTAGCAGTATTCCAGCTATATGACGGCGGTCTGTAAATAATCGAGTCTGGACCAGACAATCCAGGGTTTGATATCATGAGCATCGGTCTACACAATTGGGGAATGTCGACATGCATCAACAAAGTGAGCGACATTGACCACCCGATCCCGTTACTCGCCTCTTACGACAAGCTTAGTCGCCTTTCAAATTAGACTCATTCAACCCCGGATCTTTACGGGCCTCGTCTTAGGTTGCTGACAGCCATTTTGATATTTTTTTAATTGATTTTGCACTTTATAACATATTTTGTGTATACGGTCTGGGTTCGAATATCCACGTGAGTGCACTGTAAATCTTATGACTGGTTTCCCCCACCGTGATATTACTGCAATGTTGCTAACAGCAGCGTAAAGCCATACTTACACCAGCAATAAGTGCGCCAGTAAAAGATATTTTACGTCCGGTTCATAAGAATCATGGAACGTGTGAATGAAACATAAAATTGCTGATAAATGTTATTTTCAGATTTATCTGTCGGTGTATATATGAGATAAAGCACTTCCCCTTGAGTCTTTATGACATTTAATATATCATAAAACCCCTCGGTCTTGTTTTATTCTACACATATATGATGGAATTTCAGTAGCGGGTCTGTTGTCCATGTAACGTTGGTCCAGCAAACCCTACCTGGCACACACGTGCACAGTGCCATGATTGAGACTCACGTGTAGTGAAAGCCTTCCATTGGTGAACTCTCCCTCTGTATGTCTGCCCGTTGAAGAAAGAGCACTGGAGTTCTCTGAAGTCGCGTGAACCTGGCGAGCAGGGCTGAAATAAGACATATCGGTCATATCATGGACATATCGGTCATGTCATGGACATATCGGTCATATCATGGACATATCGGTCATATCGTGGACATATCGGTCATATTATGGACATATCGGTCATATCGTGGACATATCGGTCATATCTTGGACATATCGGTCGTCAGTAAACAGGCTTACTTCATCGATGTAAAGGGCTCATTGTGAAAAGTGAAAAAAACAATAGTAAAACCCAGTTTCATAGAAGTCCTTCTCGTGGCTGAAAAAGCACACCTTTTCTCAGTTCCCCATGTCTTGTAGTCTTAATTTCATTCCGTAATTGACTCAAATGTGCAGCATAGTCGGTTCCGTTTAATGTTTGGCCTTTTAAAGATAGTCCTGTATGTTGACAGCTGGGCATCCCAAAACACGAGGCCAAAACGTGTCCAGCTGATGTGGGCTGGAAGTGGTGAACCTAGATTTCATCCAAAGATACAAATCGTTGCAAGAACCTTTCTGGTTCAGCTTCAAACAGACCTAGATTATAAAGAGACACGTCGTGCCTGGTGCGTTTTTGAGACATAGGAAGCTTTGGAACACAACTAACTGATACTTTCTATATTGCTGAAGTGTGTGTGCTATTGAATGTACTCTCTCCTGGAAAATGCCAACATAACCAGCAATATGACACTCAGTCTTTCGCCGGTCAGCACATTATCATGGCTTCTCTGGGTCATTTCTGGTGTTCCTTGCGTCACAGGCTTTTATCTGCTGGTACTTGATCACTGCACGTTCCTCCTGTTGTCACAGTGAAACAATCTGTTCAATTGACTCCATTTTTTGTGGATAGACATTATAAAATGTCCACAACCAAAGACTACAGCTCAGAACTAACCAATGAACCCTCGCACATGATCAGCCAGGAAGCACATTGTGACCACCCAATCCTCATTATAGTCGTTTCTTACAACAAACATGAGTTACTCGGCACCTTTTGTCTTGGATTCTCCATGGAGATACAGCCTGATTGAAAAGGCAGAATAACATGATTTTATGGCAACGGAGGATGCTCCCCTTACGAAACACCTCCGTGGTGCAGTGGTTAAAGCGGAAAGCCGGTGGTTCAATACCATGGCCATGTCATACGAAAAGACGTTAAGGTCCGTGTTGTTTCCCTGTCTGGCGCTCTACATTCAGGGCAGAAAACGACTGGTCGGATCACGATACGTATATTTAAGTGTCTGCGAGTTAAACTAAGGCATTGTACGTCTCAGTGAACTTGGACTATAAAACCTAACACTGGAAAAAGTCCGGACGTGTACAATCAACCACACACACGTGTAGGCACGGGGCTATATAATTGCAATAATCATTAACGCGACGTTAAACCCCATTTTACGTCACCTATGACGGTACCGGTCATGTTGTTTCGGGGTGATATAACAATGTCACCCGGTTCATCTAAACCCATAGGTATTCGCGGCCAGCTATAGGGGAATACAGGGGCGGTCGGGTAGCCTAGTGGTTAAAGCGTTAGCTCGTCACGCCGAAGACCCTGGTTCGATTCCCGACATGGGTACAATGTGTGAAGCCCATTTCTGGTGTCCCCCGCCGTGATATTGCTGGAATATTGCTAAAAGCGGCGTAAAACCTCACTCACTCACTATAGGGGAATACATACCAGAATTAGGTTCAGTAGTTTCGCAAGTTCACGTGACTATCGCATTACCCGGTTAAATAAACGTTGTTCGAAATCAAAATGTGTACCCACTATATATTAGAATTGCTGTACAAACTATATGAAGAAGGTTTAGTCGTTATACAGCAAAATCATGCATGAAGGCTAATCCAGTGCTATCCGAGGCACAAGGCACAGAGGAGTGAGTGAGTGAGTATGGTTTAACGCCGCTTTTAGCAATATTCCAGCAATATCAGGGCAGGGGACACAAGAAATTGGCTTCACACATTTTTCCCATGTCGGGATTCGAACCCGGGTCTTCGGCGTGACGAGCGAACGCGTCAACCACTAGGCTACCCGACCGCCCCCATGGGTGATGGAAACAAACCCATGTCATGGTCAAATATTTATTAGATATGTCTGATTTAAGCAGACGAAATAAACAGCCTACCTGAGTATTACATGCCTGGTGATCCCGCGTCTTTCCCTTGCAGTTCTTGCCATCAACTGGTCTGGGGTCGGGTCTGGAACAGGAACACCGTACTTATATTATGAAATGATGCAGATGGCAATGGTGAAAGGGTGTGGCCTAGTAGTGACAGTGTTCATTCGTCACATCGAAGGCCTGGTTTCGATTCTTCACATGGATACAAAGTTGATTTCTGATTGCCTCTGTATCGCTAATAGTGGCGCAAATCCGTTCTCACTCACGCTGACAATAATGGTTCAACGAAGTATCGGTCCACCGATACACATTGGTGCAACAGTGGACGTGTCATATCGTAGGCTTTGTATGCGCCAGGTTCACGTGATCATGTAGCAACAGAAGAACTTCCTTCGTGAGAGCCTAACTATATCGGCAGTTGTATTTTATTTGAATCGGAGGCATATGACAGCGACGTGCATGTGCGAAAGGCTCAGATAATGCATTGGGTGCACATCTAAGAATACATGGAGTACCTGTGTTCTGTGTGTAAATGGGTTAGAGCACCCTCAGGAGCACCTGAATCATCGAGGTGGGTTTGAATCCCAGATTCATCCTGATTAATATTCTTGGTTTGTCAGCACCATACACGTTTTCGCGGGTTTCGCAAAAGTGGTAAACGTCTAAGACTGCATCACTTCGAGCTTTCTCCCTACATTAAACTGGCAAGCCCTGATATTACTGAAATACTGTTTAAAGCGGCGTTAAACAAAACTCACTCACACTTTCTCATTTGTACACAAGTATAAGTTTTCATACACCTATTAATCATGACGACACATTGCACGACTGAGTGATAAGTAAGGAAAATATATATGGATTGAACAACTTCTTTATTACAATTAGGAGCGACGTTTCCGTGTAGGTTATCAATAATTGTAATATATAAGTTGTTCATCCATATATCTTATCCTTACTTAGTACTCCAACTTCTAAATGCCTCGCAAAGAAGTTAAACGACTGAGTGAGTTTGGTTTAGCGCCGCTTTGAACAGTATTTCAGTTATATCAGGGGTGTCAGATAACTATAGGTAAGCCCTAGGTGATGCAGGTCAGGATTACGTTAACCAATGTGTCACATGACACAAACCTCTGCAAGGTATAGCGATATACCGATACTACCTCAAATCATTACCGTCCTATTTCAGTCCCGAAAAGCACCTATGATGCATATTGAATCCGTGGGTGTCGCTACAGATGTGGCAATGCGCCACTGGGGTGCAACCCATGCCATTGTCTCTTGGACTATTGTCTCTCTCACTCACTAACTTCACATAAGGGTCTATTGTCCTTCAGACATGACCGCAGCTCATGGGGGTGCAGACAGAATACCCCAACCTGTTATTTGGCAGTCAACCCACTTTGACTGTGTCATTTTCCCAATACTTACCCCATTGTCCGAACATCAAAGGCTGTCGTACTTTTTCATGACGCGAACCAAACACCAAGCTCCTTTCGCGGTTCGTTAACTTACAATGATAACGCAAGCGTTGTGTTATATCGGAGTCAGTGCCTGTGATTACAGACGGTGGATAAGCCTTGGGAAAACCAGGGTGCTGAAACCAGAGCCTTCAAAGGCCTCTGTCTACCGGGGACCCTGTGAGTCCCGAGGGCGTGTCCCTTGCTTTAACACCCCCGTAATCTGTAAGGGTATACGCCCGTCTGCACCCACTGACCCCTGGAAAAAACACAGTGATGCTGCAGTTTGTGTCTGTCTGGGGTTTGGGCTTGCAATGTGCACACATGACTTCAGCCTTGGCGGACAAAGCCTTCATTTATTTCACAACAGGCGTTAAACAGGTCTTCATATCAATCATGACGAGCTGTGCCTTGTGGGTTTTTACACTTTCACATAGATTTGTCTGATGCTGCCAAAGCAGTGGCGCACATCGCAGTCTGTATCCCTCTTTTCATTTCCCAGGTTCAAGTTCAAAATTTTTCTTCTATACATCTATGCTTTCAACATAGGCAGCAGCATTTCACATGTGTCTGACAGTCGTTTGAGGCGCCGCAATTTGCTGTGCTCCCATATTAAAAAGTTGACTAGCGGTGATATAACTGTACCATCGTTTTAAACGGCGTTAAACCTAACTCACTCGGGTTCCGATTACAATTATGAATTAACTATAACTTGCTTATACAATTATGGTATATACGCCAGGTTGATTAAACTAAAATTAGTTATTAACCATAACATATGCTTGTAAAATTATGGAATATACGTCACCGTTCTAGTGTGTGATTCATTGAATATCTGCTAAATAGAACTAAACCAGATTGTAACATATACAGTTTGTGCGAGATTTAGTTTTAAAACACTCATCGACAGAGAAGAATTCGTTTAAAGCTACATCAAAACGTATTTCACAGTGGAAAAAAGCCAAAGCCTAGGTCTGAGGCTGTGTAGTCACGGGGGCGGGGGGGGGGGGGGGGGGGTGTGTGTATTGTGGGCAAATAAATGCCGAAATTGCGATCATAGGCCGAGATTGTGACCTATCGCCACGCCAAGCAAGGAGAGACAGTGCCACAGTCGGACCAACAAATGCCGAAATGGCCATCCTAGGCCTGAGACTGTCGCCTATAGTCACGTCATGCGAGGAGAGACAGTGCCACAGTCGGTCAAACAAATGGCGATCCTTGGCCTGAGATTGTTGTCAATCATTACGTCACGCGTGGAGAAACAATGCCACAGTCGGTCAAACAAATGGCGATCCTAGGCCTGAGATTGAGGTCCATCGTCACGTCACGCAAGGAGAAACAGTGCCACAGTTGGACCGACAAATGGCGATCGTACGCCCGAGACAGTCGCCAATCGTCACGTCACGCAAGGAGAGACAGTGCCACAGTCGGACTTATCAACATCTCCACTGATAATATCTCGGATGGAACATATCCCTGTATTAAAGTATCAGTATTCCTGTTCTGTGTCAGTAGGTGACGATGAATATATAACATTGATGTGAGCAGGGTATTCTTCGTCATGGGAGTTCCTGCTGGGGTTTTATAGGACTGAGTTTACCGGGACGACCTTCTCGGACCAGGTGCTAGTTCCCCATCAAATTGAGGCTTAAATAAGACACTTAGGCCTTTCAACATTACATGGTTTACAGGTTTCTCTTTGAAACAAATACGGTATTCGGTCGACATGACATTCAACCTAATTGCGAAACTATTGCGATAAATAAATGTATAAAAGAATACACATACTGCGTTGAATGTTTTGGATAATTTACTTTCCCCGGAGACAGGAGGAGTTGGGTGAATATACATGCCCCACTACCTTGCTCCAGACACCTTAAGTGTAAGCCTGTGTCAGCTGTGCCTGAATCCGCCTGTGCATAAGTGACACTATTAAAAGGTTCCTAAAGAATGTATGTCTATCATAAGGTCAAACATGTGCTTTCATAGAGTCATGAAAAATAACTTTGGAGAGGGTCGCGATAATAAAAACCGGACAAATATTTCCTTATTAAAAATTTAATGAAAATGTTTTTGTTTCACTTTGAATTCAAAGTTCCCGAAAAAGGTTGTTTTTTAAAAATATTCACGGCTTTCTCCATATCTCGAACAAGAGTGACGAGAACCCAAGGTATATTCAAGCTAAAATATGTTTGGTGTGTCTTCGTACATTAATGATTATTGTCTGTGCGACAATCATAAACCTACCCTTAACCATATTGTCCATATGAGATCTCTGCTGAAAGCAGAGTCCACAGAAAGACTCTGCCAATATCGTCAGCACATGTCAATGAATCACACTAAAATAGTGATGACACCAGGTGTTAGCGAAAAGATGATTGGCTGGTTGGTTGGTTGGTTGATTTGTTGTTTAACGCCGCACTCAGCAATATTACAGCTATATGACGGCGGTCTGTAAATAATTGAGTCTGGACCAGACAATCCAGTGATTATTATCATGGGGATCGATCCACGTGTTTGGGATCGATGACATGCATCAACCAAGTCAGCGAACCTGACCACCCGATCCCGTTAGTCGCCTTTTACGACAAGCTTAGTCACCTTTTACGGCAAGCATGGGTTGCTGAAGACCTATTCTACCCCGGAATCTTCACGGGTCAGCGAAAAGATGAGCACATCCTGCCCCACTGGTTGCACCCGTCACAAACACATGCAGAGGCACACATGCACATGCACATGCAAATAATGTACTTCCTGCATCCAAATCAAAGTTGGACTTTGTTTTCTCAAGTATTGATAGCCAAAAGGTCAATTGGCTGATTTGTACATAGTTTTGAGTTAAAATATGCTCACGATTCCATTGTGCGATTCTACCTATATCATAAGCATGTGTTTAAGAATCACTATTAAATAGTGATGATACCAGGTGTTCGCGAAAAGGTTAGTGTCACAAACACATGCAACGGAAAGTCAAGTGACCACCTCAACAACCACGGGAATGTGTAAAAAAAACCTATAAAATAGTCATGATACCAGGTGTTCGCGAAAAGGTGAGTGTCACAAACACATGCAACGGAAAGTCAAGTGACCACCTCAATAACCACGGGAATGTGTAAAAAAAGATTTCATATACAATATGTTTGTCTAGAACGATATCAGATCATTGATATACCTGAAGCTAAACTTTGTGGGTAAATGCCTCTGTTTTGATTTTACCAATCAGAGCAGAAATTCTGATTCATATACACAAAGAAACAGATCAGCAGGGGGGGGGGGGGGGGGGGAGCATAATCGGTGCCAATTGGGATGCCTACTTCTTGGCTTAATGTCCTATCCCCAAATTCCGCACAATGTTACATTTGAGAAAGTTCAGGATATTACATATTGTGTTTCACAGTGAAATGCATTCGACATTTGCTTTCATTATTGACAAGTTGTCCTGAACCTTTTATGACAGAGATGTCAGTGCAATATTATCTATTGTCACCATGTTTATTGCCAAATACACACTGGTCAAGGAATTAAGCTTTTTTCTAATTTGGCGTGTGCGATTACAGGGTGAAAAGATCAAATGATTTGACAGAATTGAACTTGGTTCTTTTCTGAGATTGCAAATATTTCAGCAAATACTTTGCATATTGTAGAATCATTTATTGTGGCTAAACCTGTAATTATTCTCTGGGCATACAACACATCTTTCTTTGTAGGGATGTGATTGTAGCTCTAGAAGTCAGTACAAAAGAGGAATGGACATGTCGTCAGCTTGCTTTGAAGACGTTTTGTGGTCAATTCTGCGTCAGAAACCGATGTACATTTATACGTTTTGGTATCCGGGAAGATCCGGGGTAGAATAGGTCTTCAGCAACCCATGCATGTTGTAAAGGGCGACTATGCTTGTCGTAAGAAGCGACTAACGGGGTCGGGCTCGCTGACTTGGTTAATGAATGTCATCGTATCCCAATTGCGTGGATCGATGCTCATGATATCAATCACTGGATTGTCTGGTCCAGACTTGATGATTTACAGACCGTGTTCATATAGTTGAAATATTTCTGAGTGCGGCGTTAAACAAAAAGCAAAACAAAACAACGTTTAGGTCTTCGGTTTATGTTTGCATACATGCAAGTTACCTCTTGTACTTATGCATCATACTTACATACCTGTGTGTTTGTTTGTTGTTTAACGCCGCACTCAGCAAAATTCCAGCTAAATTATATTGTGGCGGTCTGTATATCGTGTCTGGACCAGACAATCCAGTGTTTCACATCATGAGCATCGATCCACGTAATTGGGATACGATGACGTGCATCAACTAAGTCAGCGAGCCTGATCACCAGATCCCGTTAGTTGCCTATTATAGCAAGCATAGGTTTCTGAAGACCTATTCTACCCCGGATCTTCACGGGTCACCTGTGTGTAAAAAGGTGCATGCGAACCCTGAATTATGTGAGGTTATAGTTTTATTCCCATCGTTACACGTTTCGTCTTTGGTCACATGAATAGCCTGGTCTTGCCACTTACCCATACTCGTAGCACGTACGGTGACGAGCTTTCATGCCGAGACCACACGAACGAGAACATGGCGAGAACTCGCTCCAGGCGCTCCACCGGAAGTCACAAGAGATCTGAAAAAATACGTTTGCCTCAAAAGCCTTATTTCCCCATGAAATCTACAACACATTAAGCCTAACTACCGTCGGCCATTCAAAATATAATAGAAGCTGTTAAGAACGACAGTCATAACACTTAAGTTTAATAACAGCAAAATACATTTCGTGTCCATTATTATGTGCTGACATAGCGTCGTTTTGGCGCCGTCTTTGACGTTTCATAACGAATAAAGTATATCATAACAATATGAATCATAAACGTAGCTTAATCTAAATTCTTTTTTAACAAGAAGGATAGAAAATTAAGGGATATGCTGTGGTGATCAAAGTAATTTCAAGTTATGAATTTATCCATGGTTCTTTTCCCAACAGTCCCAACAGTCCCAACAGTTATCTCACAGGAAATGTCCGCCTCTTTAACGGATAGCAGCTTGATTGTGAGCAGGACGATCTAGCTAATAGCTTTACAGTAAGTGTCGTAACGATTAATGAACATCCATGTGAGCTCGCCTAAAGAACATCCGAGTAATTTCCGTATCGTAAAAAACATACAGTTAGAAATATGAAATATGCATTATGCCACACACACACACACACACACACACACACACACACACACACACACACAGTTCGTGATACTCAGTAAATGGATTGGTTCATTGGATCGATTACACTATTCATTATATGATAAAAGTTATTATGCTGAAGGTTTAACTGTCGGACAAAAAAAGCTATGCACTTGAACATTGGATTTGACCCAAACAATTACAAACGTTATCAAAATGTTATTAGACATAAAACAGTCTCACAATTCAGGTCCAAAACACAACTAGGATATCTGTATCAAATACATTATCATTGAATAACTGTTTCTAAATGGTTTCATCTTTAGTCACCATAATACCGGGGTGCATACGCTCTTTTACCAGGCTGTTTAGATGATGATCTTAATTGACTGAAGACTTTTGCTTCTATAATTGACCAATTTGCTGCTAAAATCTGCCTTTACATTAACTGATCTCACTTAAAGACAGGATTGTGTTTAATTCATCGATATTTGTTGACAGTTTCGTTCAGATCTCGGGCCCAAACCATTTAATCTTTGGTAGGTGTTTCTTTGATGTTGGTTAGATTCTATTTCTTGTTTAACCTGACCTATATTTGCATTTTTATAACGCCATACCGTTATAACGTTGTTACCCTGTCTGGCGCTCGGCATTAAGGGACTAAAACAAGGACTGGTCGGCTCGGAGTCAGTATACTGTGTCTGAGTGGGGTATTCATGTTGAACTGTGGCATGGTATCTCAGTGAGCTAGCACTATAAATCGGCATCAGTCCGGACTAGTACAAGCAGCAACACAAACACACACACGTACATGCACGTCGCTATATAAGTGCAATAATCTTGGACGCGACGTTAAACCCCATTTCACCTCACCTCACCTATACTAAATGTAGTGCTCAACCAAAGGAGGTTATTCGATGAAGGCCGAAAGTCTTGAAGGCTTGAGATTACGTATATGTAGGTATTTATTAGAATTCACCTTGAGAATGAACACAAAAGACGATATATTCATACAGTTAAAATTAGTTCTAACATTTTTGTGAGTTTTATGGAATGTTGAAAGTGGTTGCAATACATAACCCCAGACGCTCGCTCAAACGTGTCAGTCAACAATAGTTGGAAAGACGCAAATCGTTTCTTTCATGTAGATTTTCTACATATTGCATTGAAACCGAGACTCGACATCAAACATTTTTTTTAAATTCACAGCTATTGCTGAAATAATGACAGACGGGGTCTCGGACAATCCGCAATGCTTTATCCGGGTTGTTGACACGTTAGGGGAACAAATATCACTGGGGTGCTGAGAAGATTAACAACTGACTGTCAGTGTCACTGAGGCAACGCGGGGACCTCACAAGTATATGGCTGGAAACAGCATGGTGATTTACTAAACTCTTGGGAAGAGGACCCGTACACTTTTACATATAAAACAGTTTTTTACTGTGGGATTAAATTACAGGATTTAGACAGCTGTTTGAGATGTAATTCATTGGAGCTTATGTTTGACACATTCTAAAATGTGATGATTTTTCATATGCAGACGAAAATAGACGAAGATTAATTCATCGGCTTGTCAAATATCTTTTCCATTTTATAAGGGCGACTGATAAAACATTTTATTTGAAAGGAAACACCAAATGTTCTGTTTATTGTGTAAAATATACACACATATACATACATTAAACCCAAAGAGAGAAAGATAAGACAGCTTTATAGCATTCCGATGAAGTTCTCATATTTCACTTGATATAAAAGCACTAATCTTCAACCACTTTATTACACAGTTGCGTTATGAGGTATATCAAATGCCTACCTTTTTATGGTCTGTTCCCTTTGTTCTATCACGTGACTGTACTCCAGTATGGCTGAATACAAAACACACTGTGATAACGTGGAGTATGCCCATACATTGTCTGGAGTTCATCTTCTCAGTTCTTCGCACACGAATCTTTAATGTAGGTTAACTTTATTAATTTCCAACGTAATTTAGTCGTATCCCACATGAGTCCCACCACATCTCAGAAATAAATCCGGGTGTATTTTATAAACAAATAATTGAAAGTACTTATTCTCAGCGCCGTAAACCGGGTGGGAAATCTTCTCGAGAAATTATCTCTCGTTAAATATGATTACACTCACAGTTAAGAAACAAACAAAAACGATCAAACTGGAAAATAACCATAAAAAATATAGGTTTATGTTGAAACTCAGTTGAAATTTGGGCTTATTCAATACACTTCTTAACTGTTGACAATCAAACTGCGAGGAACTCACGAACAAAATCAACTCTTGCCATAAACCCTTTGTTTGGTGTTGTAAAATGTACTTCCATCTGTTCTGATATTAAGACTGACATTATTGCCTGTATCACACGAAGTTTCTTCAACCACAAAGGGGTGTTTTGCGTTCCTCCACACTGTGTAATTACAAACGTTTAATTGTCTGTTGGTTTCTTCTCTGGGATCTCAGCGACGTACTCATTGCAATGGATATCCCGTACTTTTGCTGCTTGAGTTTCTGTAAATAAGTTCTTTTTTAATTGATGATCCTTCAATCGTATAAGGACTTTCGTGTACTTGTTGGCGTTATCCGTTTTCTTTAATAATGCTAAACTCCAATGACATCCCCAAAGCGAAAGACAAACACAAATCGTCGTCAACTTAAAGTCAACTCTTAATTCGTCCAAGAACTCTAACGAACCACTGTCTTGGGCAGTTCTTTAGCTGATTCAGCAACACATGTCCCCTCCTCCGACCAGGTGTGAGCACAGGTAAATGAAGAACGCCGGTTTACCTGTTGGTTAACACCTGAGCGGTTGAGAGTACGTGTGGTCTGGCTTCACGTCTCGTTAGTCGAGCTATAGTCCGTATCAAATCTGGGTAACGAGATCCTGGGGGTGAACACGCCGGCACGTTGTAATTACCATTCAGGGCCGAACAGCCTCCAACACGGGCCCTAATTAAGGATACACGAGTTGATACCACAGTGAAGAGGAAAACACTATTTATTCTCGATACGGGCTCGCCTGTGTCACTCGCGGACCCCACTCGAGCATAAATGTCACCACCTTGCTCATCCCGTGCCAAACGGGATGCGTAATGTGACATATACGCATACGGTATGTGAACGTTATTGTGATAATTATTTACGACGGATTATTCAACCTGGTAGGGATCTACTACCCTATTAGTCTGAAAGGTGAATGATTTAAGAATTATGAGACGCCCGGGTGGCAACAAAAACAGACTGTCTCAGTGTCAAGAGGCACCGTGCGCCTGTTAATCTTCTTATACATGGGGTAAACGTTAACGCTCGTTAACACTGGGACATATTATAACAGTTGTATGTCATCTTTAGGCGATGAATCACGCTGTTCTGAAACACCATGCACCAGTTATAGCAGCGTTGACCTCATATGTATATTTGTAGGTAGATGTTTTAGGCGTACGGTTCGGAAACGTTGAATGATGCTTAACAGAAACGTGTGAATTGTTAATGAATGATATATTCTGAATAAAACTCATTGGGTGGAGTCCAATAGTCGCTGGTGTCATTGGTGTCGTCGGTTTGATGAATGTAATTGCAACTGCTTTGTGTATTGACCCGTGGAGATCCGGGATAGAATAGGTCTTCAGCAAGTAATACTTGCCGTAGGGGGCGACTAACGGGATCGGGTGGTCAAGCTCGCTGACTTGGTTGATGAATGTCATCATATCCCAATTGTGTGGATCGATGCTCATGATGTCAATCACTGTTCATACTCGATTATTCACAGACCGCCGCCATATAGCTGGAATAGTGCCGAGTGCGGCGTTAAACAACCATACAACCATACAGAATGAAATGAAATGCTTTGTGTATTGCATTTCAATTATGTGAGAGTTTACTGAAAGTGTATCAATGTGTTAGCCCAACTGTCTTGGGAGTCAGTTAATAAATATACCTAATAATACTGCCACTTTGAAGGACTCAATGTGTTGCCATGTAACCGGCTGGGACCATACCAACTAGGCTACCATGCTATCCGATGTCATTCTTCGTTACCTCGATGTATGGTTTTGACGACGATGATGCAGAATCACGACAGAGTGAGTGAGAGAGTTGGGTTTAACGTCTCTTTGGACCGTTTACTAGTATATCACGACGTGTCAGCTTGATGTGGGAGGAAAGCCCGAAGTAATGCAGGTCTGAGACGGATCACGGCAGAATGTTTCTTCATTTATAAGTAGTTAACCCCGGAAGTCGGGTAACGTTGATATATCTTTTTTCTCCCACGTAAAGCTTAAAACGCGGTATGTAATTAAAACTGTTTAAAGCAAGGTCTAACCCACTTACTCACTCTCTTGGGTATAATCACGCTGCAGCTAATGCAATATTCACAATTCACATTTTTTTAGATTCACTGGAGCATGCCCTTTCAACCAAGATTTCAAAGAGCATCAATCAACTCTTGCTCAGAATTTTTTTGATCAAGGTTACAACATTCAAGGCCTCAGTTAAACTTTCTTTCAGACATGTGGAGGACAATTCCAAATTTGACGCATCAAACAAGACGTCCGATGCTATTCCCTATCTTGACTTGTTCCCGTGCTTTTTCAGCTGAACAATTGACTTTCCTCTGCATGTGTTCGTGACGGGTGCCACTGGTGGGACAGCATGCGCTCTCCTTTTCACGAATACCTGGTATCATCACTATTTGATAGTTATTCATAAACACATGCTTATAATATAGTCAAAATCGTACAATCGACTGTTTTTGGCAGTGATTTCTCACGAATACGGAAAAGGTTTTGCCGCTTTTATTCACTATAATTGTCCTTCCAAATACATGGCATAATTCTCTCACAGTTGGTTTCCCGAAGATAATTAAATTCATCAAGTTCCGAAATGGTGCCAGAGAACGTGTTTGCTTGTTTGCTATTTTACACCGCACTCAGCAATATTCAAGCTATATGACGGCGGTCTGTAAATAATAAAGTCTGGACCAGACAATCCAGTGATTGATATGGATATGCAATATGGATACGATGACATGCATCAACCAAGTCAGCGAGCCTGACGACCTTATCCCGTTAGTCGCCTTTTACGGCAAGCATGGGTTGCTGAAGACCTCTTCTACCCGGATCTTCACGGGTCCGGGTAGTGAGGTCTGTGGGCTGTGTGATGTGGGGTTGTGGTGTCGTCATAGTATGGTGTAAGTTTGTGAGGAATCGGAGTTGTGTGGAGTGGGGTTTGTGGGGCGCGGGTTGTGTGGTGTGGGGTTCTGGTGTCGGGATAGTGTGGTGCGTCGCCTTTTACGGCAAGAATAGGTTGCTGAAGACCTACTCTACCTTCACGGGTCGCCAGAGAACGTGACTGAATTTATTAATAAACAAATATTCAACTCCATTTCTTTTAAAACATATTACACAATTATGGTAACTAAATTGTCATTGTGGGAACTTTTTTTGTTACCGCCGATACACACGGCGTGGCCTCCCTTATAGATCTCAGTGGTGACTTCAAGTAGTACCCTACATTCTATCACCTGTTTCGGGGGCACGGGTGGCCCAGTCGTCTAAGGCGCCGCGATTCGCTGTGCAGAGTTGCGTCCCTTGGATACGCCAGAAACCTATGATTGTGGGTTCGAATCCCGGTTCGCCCCAATTATGTTTCTAGGTTTGTCAGCACCATACCCCAGCTCGTGGGTTCCACCGAAGTGGTAAACGTCTGAGACCTGCATCAATTCGGGCTTTCCTCCCACATTAAGCTGACACGCCGTGATATAACTGGAATACTGTTAAAAGCGGCGTTAAAAACAACTCTCTCACTCACTATCATCTGTTTCAATCAGGTTGATGACTAGTAGTGTTTCTTATCTTGTTAAATATTGCTGATTGCAGATGTTAGGAAATTAGCGGAATGATGCGAAGCCTCTGAAATGATAAAGTAAACAAATATACGTTCCTGGGCAACGTTTAACATGTTGAAACATCATAGCACGCGTTACGAGAAGCGGTACAGCAAGGTCGTCTCGAGAGAACATTTTTTCTCAAAGTACGATTCCCTTAAGATTCACAACTTTTTTTTGAGTGCATAGAGTGCTAGGTACGTCAGACGTTGGCCTTGAACAAGATTGGTTGGTTGGTTTGTTGTTTAACGCCGCACTCAGCAATATTCCAGCTATATGACGGCGGTCTGTAAATATTCGAGTCTGGATCAGACAATCCAGTGATTGAAATCATGAGCATCGATCCACGCAATTGGGATCGATGACATGCATCAACCAAGTCAGCGAGCCTCACCACCCGATCCCGTTAGTCGCCTTTTACCACAAGCATAGTCACCTTTTACGGCAAGCATGGCTTGAACAAGACAATCTGCATTGTCTGATTGTAGCTGGGCACGGGTGGTCATGTCATCCATCGCGCCGCAATTCGTAGCAGAGTCGTGTCCCTTAGGCATGCCAGGATATGATTCGCCGTAATAGTGTTCCTTGGTTTGTCAGCAGCTTTACACATGCCCGAGGGTTAAACAAAAGTGGTAAACATCTAAGGCCTGCATCACTTCAACAACTACTGCTTAACATGGCGTTGAGTCAGGTCTAGATAGGTTTCATAAGAAATCAGAATTTGGTTAAACATATTTCTCCCATAACAATTAGTATGTCCATTTCCTTGTTTTGTTTAAAATATATTTTATTCACAACCTTGAAACAGATTGGGGACGAGTTGTCCAACACTATCTCTATAATATTTACAACAACCAATGAAAATAGCACAAAGAAGGGCGAGAGAAGCCGAATAGAAAAATTAGGATTAGACGTTTGTAAGTTATTCTAGAGTGTTGCATCTTTTTGTGTGAGAAATACACAATTGATCACCACCTAATATAAATTCATTTAAAGTCACTGATAGATCTGGATTGGCACACAAAACTATTTGTATCTGTCGAACGAGACTACGGCTGATGTCGAACGACACAACAAGCTTGAAGTAAATAATATAGAAAGTCAATGCATGAGAATAACCAATCTTGATTATCTACTGCAACAGATTCTATTTGGCGTAACGGATAATAACCAAGCCTCAAGTATCGAGCACAACAAAGACAATCTATTAAGTATAAAACGAACCTTTCGTGATAAAATGAAAGCAATCGCAATGACCGGCACAACTATAAGTTGTTGCAGGATCACGAGGAGTGAGTATGGTTTTACGCCGCGTTTAGCAATATTCCAGCAATACCACGGCGGGGGACACCAGAAATGGGCTTCACACATTGTTCCCATGTCGGGAATCAAACCCGGATCTTCGGCGTGACGAGCGAACTCTTTAACCACTAGGCTACCCGACCGCCCCGAGGATCACGAGGGATACATGGGGTTTTCTGCGTTCCGCGTTAGATTGTATACCATGAGCCGGAGGCCGAGTGATCTTTAAATGTGACATTGTAAAAGAACTAACACAAATTCAAAATTGATAGAAAACAGCTGTTCGATTGAACTGAGGTAAACTGACTTCACGTGACTTCAATTGACACGGGAAAAGCGTGCGGCTTTTTGCCTTGAAGCTATATGTGGAAGGAACATCTTCTAATTCAACAGGCTGATTGACCACGCTTCACGTACAACATGACTGTATTACTTAACCTCGTGTGTGGGAGAGGGAATGAATGAGTATGGTTTTACCCCACTTTTAGCAATATCCTAGCAATATCACGGCGGGGGACACCCGAAATGGGCTTCACACATTGCACCCATGTGGGTAATCAAACCCGGGCCTTCGGGGTGACGATGAAACGTTTCAGCCATTAGGCTACACCGCCACGTAGTCTCTACAGCATTAGGG